AACTGCTCAAAAAGCTGGTCATTTTTTATCAGGTACAAATAATAATTTATTTTGGTTTTTATGTATAGAGGAAATACTTTTGATAAAATATCTGTATACTGGCCAAATATTACAGTTTTTATTGCTTGGTAACTTAAACAGCAATGAATGTTTAACTTAAATAACATATTATGCTATTAGATAAATTAAATACAACTTAGCATTGTCTTACTTTATTCTAATAATTTATTCTTATTTCTCTTCAATTATAAACACTTACCATATACATATTATAATATTTTAAAAATATTACTATCTGGTTTATGATTGTGAAATATTTAAATCAAAATAATTTTTTATTATTTAATATATTTTTAATTTAATTTAAATACAGTAGCAATAATCGCCAAGTGTTAGCTAAAGTTATAAGCGCTTATATTGAAGAAGAATAAATTGTTTTAAAATTGGTATCCCTAATTAATCAGTTACTAAAACTTATAAATAATGCTGTGTACTAATTTTATAAACTGGATATAGTAATTATATACTTAATAGACACGCTTTTTTTTTAGTTTTCATTTTTTATACTTTTCTATTTTGTTAACATTTTTTACTTTTTTTGTATCTTTTGTTATTTTTTCCCTTGACCCAATGTAAGCTAAAATAATATTATTTCAACCTATTATAATTTTACTAACTGATTATTTTAGAGCCAGTATAATTGATTTTTTTTTATTACTATTTAGAGTTAACAGCATTTACGATTGTTGTAGCACCCGCGGTGCATGTTTTTGTCGGCCCCTCCTCAGTCTTTTGTTACTTGCACTCAACATCATATTTACACGATTGATATGAGTCAGCTGGTTGCGACTTAAAATACGAGTTTCCCTGTGTGCTTGCAGCTGTAAATAAAATGTTTAAGTCAATTAGTACATTTTATAAGAAATAATATGCTGCTGTTAATAAATTTTGTATAAGGTCATAGAATTATTTCTTAATTATTTAGCATTGATTGAAAATTGAAGTTTAAATGGTAATAATATCATAGCTGATCTTACCTTCTGTGCTTTATTGGTGCCAGCAATCATTGCCAGCTCTCTTTTAAGCAACTCGTGCTTGTAAGCATTTTCTTCAGGTCGAGACACCAAAGAATTGAGGGCAATGGAAGTCGTCAATGGTATGATGATGTTCTCTTTTTTTACAGGAGACTTTTGGTCCCTCTTTTCAATTACATCACATTTTGGTCTTACCACTGAGGTTTGGGTAATCGGGTGAGATTCTATTATCTCATGTTTTACTTCTTTAACAATAGATTTTTGTTGTACCTTCTTTTTCTTTTTTTCTTCCGTATCTAAAACAGACACAGGTTTTTGTGCTTCAACGCAAATTGTCGAATTACTGTTCGACTTTGGTTGCTTTTCAACAACTGGTTTTACAGCATTTCTTTTTGGTGTTTTACAGCTTTTTGGAACATCAGATTGTATGATGCTAAAGGAACTCAACCTGACCAACCGTTCTTGGGCACGGATTTTAGGAACAATTATTTCTTTTGGCATCTTTTGCGCCTCATTTTTCATTAAATGAGGCAATGGCATGGTGGTTTGCGACCTTTTTTCATGACTTTTTTAGGAGTAAAGACTTTCCACAACTGTCGTGTTTCTTCTTCCATAGGCAAAACTGCTTGAGGCTGACTCAACAACTTCGACTTTGGATTCAATTTTAACGTGTTTTATTTCAGACATGTCATTTTTTGGTTGTCTTCGTTTTAATGATGCAGCTACTTCTTTATAGCTACGAATAGCTGGTGGAGAGCATACTTTGGCCTTAGCAATTGGAGCCAATACTGGAAACATTTCCGTTTGAGAACGTTCGACTTTTTTAATCTCAACAACGGGAGATGACAAAACACTTGGTACATTGCCCAAAATAGTTTCAGGTGCAATTTTGAATTCATCAAGGGGCACAGATTTTTCAGTGTCTTTTCTTGGGATGTTAGGTAATTTTTCTTTGCATTTCACGGCTTCAAAGACTATTGGCGTATCGTCATCAAACGACTCGCTATTACTCGCAATTGAGGCCAGAGTTCTTCTCTCGGGCATTATTGAACTCACAGTGGGGCTGTGATATACAGACATGCTTGGATGTTCAATGAGAAGATTCTCCAAAGGTGTCGTCTCCATGTCTGCTGGACCAACAGACGTGAAGCAAGGAGGAGGAGTAACAAACCAGCCTTCTTCATTTTGACAGGAAGAAGATGATCGACTGTGGCGATCAACAACCACTCCACACCCTTCATCATCAGTCTTTTTAGAATCGGACTCAGATTCACCTAATTAAAAATTAAAATAAGTACCTAATCGATAACATAACAAAAAGAATGTATTTAGTTTACCTTTTCCAAGGATAACCCAGTCGTCAGATTCGTCAATTTCGATGGGTTCGAAGTTTTCGTCAACTTCGATTAAAGAGTCTGGGCAAGGATCAGTGACGACAACTTCGTCACTTTTTTCGGTAGCGTTACTTCCGTAGAACCAGCTGGACAAGTTCGAAAACATTTTGGCTCGCTGTAAACAAATCTCAAGTTATAAAAAAACTGAAAAGAAATACGAATACCAAACACTTTTAAGTATAACGTGTAGTAGTCAGTAGACAAAGTTAAGACAGATTAGGTACTATAATATAGGTAGTAATGGTTTAAGATATCAGTTTTATTAGCTGTGTGTACACTTAAAAATAGTTTATCATTTCGGTTTTATGTGTTGACATAATAGTGAATAGCGCATACTTGATAAAATATGATAGTTATAGACTATTTTAGCTAACAACGAATAAAAGCTGGTTTATTTGCAGTTTTATTGACCCAATAGAGACTTGTGTAAACCGAATTATGAAAAAACAAATACAATGCAAACTAATTTGATTAACTAATTATTATACAACTTGATTGCACGTGTCACCGGTATAATATAGGTTCATACAATAAATATTACAATGTCAAGTTCAGTAAAACTAGTTTCGTTTTAATACATATTTCATTATTTATGTTATGCGTATTTGTTATTATAAATAATAATAATAATAATAATAATATTGTTACACTGTTGTTATTCGAAAGTGGCGAGTGGCGGTGACCTTGAACGTAATAAATCTGGATTATATTATGTTTAAAACGGGTATCTGTTATAAAGTAGAATTACTTTTTTACTAAGACATAATATTATATATTACATAATGAATAATAACTACAAACAATTAACAATGTAAGCAATGTATTATTTTTGTTGAATCTTCTCGAATACGGATTTAATATTATGTTCTATTGTAAATGACTAAAGATTTTTTTGTTATTTGATCAATTATTCCATTATACTTATTATTTGCGTGTAATTGTGTGTCTTTAATTTTTATAAAAATTATGTAAGCAACAAATATTTTTGAACAAAGCATCATTTCTTTAATTATAGCAACAACCTATTGTAAAAGATACTTTAAACGTTGCGAACTATAGACTGTGGTTGTGTTTGAACAATATTCAATAAATAACTTTGAAGTATCGAAAATATAGGCCACATAGAGTTTAACGACCCTGGTAAACTGAATAGAGTCTACAAGTGGCATAAAATGAATTGTTATGTCATTGAGTACATGCGTGATGTACTCAAGTCAAAATATGTAAAATTATATAGCAGTGTTTTGTATTTTACACATATTCTTAGTAAAATACTAAATTGTATACTCGTTCTATGAGGGACCGTCGCATTTAAAAATATTATAGAAATTAGGAGCACCCGAGTACACATACCTTTATTTTATCTCTGTAGAATTGTGGCACGAATAGTTGTGGTCAGTCAGGAACTGTAACAAAAATAAAATAAAAATTATAAATTTTGGAGGTTTTATTTTTATAGGAAAATCATAAATTGCGCAAGTGAAATAGTGAAAATTGTCTATAATTAAAATGTCGAAAAAATGTTTTGGCAAGTGAAAGCGAACGAAAATTAATAAACAAGTGGACTTTAACGCACAAAAACAAATATACATATACACGAAACATTTTCGAGCCAAGGGCAACGAGCCGAGCTTTGCCAATACATTTTGCCAACACAAAGCAAAATATTAATCTATTATAATTTGCCAAACAGCGACCAGGAAAAACTGCGAAACTTTTAGAACATACGACGTTAATAATTACATTTTTATTAAGTCAAAAGTCATAATTTATATGCAACGACTAAAAACAAACGCAATTTCTTTTAATAATAAGTTCAATAGGTATGTCTGTGCATAATGTTTCATCTGATTCAGCAGATACCTCTAACAAGTAACTACCTGACTATATTACTATAATAACATATAAATTACAACGCTGTTGTCAAGTTAGTAGGATACCTAAATTAAAAAACTGATTACGGCGCTTTTGCAAAGTCCATAACGACAGTTTAATTTTAAAATACAGTAGTAATGATTAATATCATAGTTTATTCTTGTTTGTATATTAATTGTACAACTAGTGTGCTCCGATAAATTATACAGCTTTTCCAAGGATTCTGTGGCCATCAGCGTTATTTAAAGCGGAAATTAAAATTGCAGTACCTATCATTATCAATACATTAATAATTTATATCATCGCAAATTATGTTCAGTGTCGTGTTTCGAGTGAGTTCACTGGCTAACTTCACGAACAGTGGTTTTGTATTTATACAGAGAACTCAGATTTGTTGATATTTTGTTATTCTGTCACTAGTTTTACCAACGAAAAGCAAATACTTTTTCTCGAACTAAAGAATTTTAACAGACAAAGAAATATATGTTGATTTACTTCTACATTTCTACAAAGGGTTGTATCGCACCGTAGAATAGTGTTCTTTTTATCTTATTGTACAAAACATACTACAAATATCTGAGAAGGATTTTGAGCATTAAGCGCGTAATTATTCTCAAAATCGGTTTAGTTTAGGATTATCATTTTTCGACTGATTGTGAAATTCGTCGTAATATGTATTATTAAAACGTACACCTCGAGTATATAGTTAAAATATTATGTTATATAGCGTTTTATACAACAAGACAACAAAGCAAACCGGTTTGTGGATCATCCATCCAACTCTCTCTCACTCGCGCGCTCATCTTCCCACCACCCAACCTATTTTATTCGACATTTTTCGTTTTATACGTTCATTTTAAATGGCGGAGTAAGTTAAAAAATCCTTTACTAACAAGATTCGTTTTCCCTGTACATGGTTGTGGACTTTTCTAATGGTTACTTAATGTATTTTTCACTTCTTTATTAAACGAAAAATGAAATATATTATTGACTGGATTATATACGAATATACGATGAAGATTATTTATTTTATTTAGTATGTGAAGAATTGTTACGCATCGCTTATCAACACAATAATCATTTGGTATATTGAAATTTAGACCATAACATAGGTCAACGAAATTGCGTATTAAAAAAATAACTATGTAAATACTTATCAGAGTTTATTAACACGCGATAACATAGAAAGTACAACACAATAACTCAGTATGGGGATTTTCTCCAATTTTATTACAAAACAGTTTTTTAATGAAAATTTTAACTGTACCTATTTAATTTTATTTATTTACCTATTCATACAACAAGGTGATCATCCAGCACCAATAGCGTCAAGGGCACCTACATCCCAAGGCGATTAATATTTTAACGATTAAATATTTTATATTAATGACTTCGGGAAATATTTTAAATGTTCGTTTGAATTTAACACGTTAAAAATCAATATTACCAGTGGGCAGTAAGAAAGATAAAAAAATGTTATTAGAAGAAAAACAGAATGAGAAAATATAGCCACGTTAAAAACAAAAATTGCATTCACAATTAAAACAAGGTCATTATTATTTATTGTCATATTTTCTACAACCGTCATCCGATGCACTTCTCAAAACAAGATTGCTTGTTGTGCATCAATATTCAATGCTCTATCTTGTCTATAGCCCATAATACTGAATTGGCGGTATGCAATTATTAAACGTATTACATTAGATTTCTTCGAGCTCTATACTTATATCGCAACAGTGCATTAGTGCAACACAAAGACAAATATAATGAGTAGCAATGACGCTGCGACGAATTCTCGTACTGTATGCAACTGAGTAGGCAGTACTGGGTACAACTGACAACGGTTTTTGTATTATTATTATTATAACCATTAGATTTGTTATCGGCTGGGGGATATACGGTCCGACGGAGTGTAATTGGCATTGCTCAAATAATGCCATAATAATGTATTTTGCATCCGAATAATTATCGTTAATGCGATGCATTTTCGGAAAACAATGACTGACGTTGGTCATCTCGTAGGTAGAATATACGTGAACAAGTAGGACGGTAAAAATACATAGTAATTATATTATGCGTTCAATCGAATTGGGAAAGTAGGCGCGATTTGCAATTTAAATATTATAACATAAATTATACTTTTGCAGATTTTTTTAGCGTTAAAAATTTCCCGGATGACCTCCGACCGTCCTACATTCGACGCGCGCGCGTGTGTTTATAATTTTTATTAATATTAAGGAAGGTGGTTAGTCCGATCGTCAGGGCCACCACAATAAGACACTCGGACGATATCCGCGTCGTACACTCGTCGTACAGCCATATTAGCGTCGTCGTAGATACCTACGCAATAACGATTCTTTCCTCCGTAAAATATTTCGTTCTTATATTATTATTTTCGACGTCGATGTTAATAATATAATGCTACGATAATGAATAATGGTATACAGAATACACTATACAGTAGTAAAATATATATTATATTATTATTATTATTATTATTATACGGAAAAGCAGGTACCCGTAGCGAGTAAACGGAGAATAATAAAAATAAAAAATAAATCGTTACGGAACAAAAGCGATGGAAACAGCTGACCGAACGGTGGGCGGTGGCGCGCGCGGCGTTCGGGCGGCGAACGGGAACAAAGACATTCGTACGAAACATATAGAATGCGATGTATATTGTATACATAGCTGTTAAATAACCCCTTCTTTAGTTCTTTCTCTGTATAATATACCATCAGCTCATCACACTCTTTCTCTATTTCTTTCTTCTAACGCTCTCCGATCTCCTACTGACTTCCGACGACACCGTCAAGTGTGTGTGTGCTTCGCGACTCTTTGTCTCTTCGCTCGTCATCACTACGCGCAGGGCCCGGACGATCCTCGATCGCAGTATTATAATATTATTATTATTATTATTATTATTATTATGCTTTGTTGTCATCCCAATCGCGAGTTTGGACCTACGACGGCTACGTTCGGAAAAATATACGACAGTAGTCTATTCTATTGCGTCTGTACGTTTCAATATAGGTATTAGGTGGTTATACACAATTATTTCTCAATTAGCTGTAAAAGGTTCGAATCCGTCAACGACGTCGGTAGGGACGTGACCCTGAACAACCGACGATACGTTGTAAATAGTTATTTATTATATTTATAGCGATCAAATGATAAAATAGATCACAGCTGATCGTGTTATTTATTAGAAATTAATATTATTGTTTTCGT